AATATTTGATAATTGTAACAATAAAACTGAAGTTTATTCATTTTAAAACATCTTGAGGTTAAGTTTATGATACTTAAAATGTCCTACTCTCATTACAATAACTTATGCTCTGAACAAACTTCATTTTTGATGTTACTCGAATATAGATAACATTAACATATTACCATAATCTTGTTTGTGGTTTCCTTCGTGAAATATAGACGTGTAAAATAATCTATATTCAATGATAAAAAATGTTAAAATATTTTTATAGAATTGTTCGATTTCAATGCTTATTCATCAAAGTTGCTATTGCAGTTTTTACTTTAGTAGCGAATCGATTACGAATACCACTGTCGTCAACGGTTTCGTTAGAACCACATCCCGGCATTGTACGTAGACGACTCATCGATACATAATGAGCAAGTGTTATGTGTTTTTCTGATGGTTGTTCTTTTGAAAGTCCAACTATTTGATGATGAATTGATAAATATTGAACAAAACGTGGTCGATATAAATACTTTTCACGTCCACTTTTATATAGATTACGTGCACGAAAAGTAAATCGTCCAATAGTTAAACGATTTGTATCATTCTCTTCTGAAGTGTATGCACTAGCATTTTTAGTGCAAAAGAACTGACTCCATAAATTAATTGATCCTATAATTCTTCGACCAAAATTTGCATGAACATAATCAACAATAGTTTCGTATGGAGGTAGTGGTACAATGTATTCATCAAGATCGAGCATACCTAACCATTCTGATTGATCACCATAATGAATTAGACAATCATGTAATGCTTCTGTTTGAAAATATCGTGTTGGTAAAACATCGACAAGACCAAGAGTAGAGAAATTCCATTGTACAACATCAACAAGACCAGGATATTTTCGAGTATAAATATTAATAATAGTTGAGAGATAATTATCAGTATCAGTTGTATTATATATGACGAATTTACTAAATCCAACTAGTCGATGAAACTCGATCCATTGAACTAAATATTTAGCTTTGTTATGTAAAGGTGAAGTACATAATGTAAAAGATTCTTGACTAGAATTTGATGAAGTAATAGAAACTACTGGAACTTTTACAAATGCTTTAAGTATAGGTATTTTTCTATCTTTTGTTGTTGTTGATGCAAGATAAACTCGTATTGTTTGATTCAATTTCCATAATTGATCATCAGCAAATGGACTAAGTGGACAATCCAAAAGAGATGCTCGATCATTGCCATATTTGGAATCATAAGTATAGACAGGTGTTACTGATCCATCACTAAATATACACCAGAGGCTCTGTTGATTTGACGAGAGTGGATGAGATGAAATGTTTTTTGGTAAAACAGTTTTCATATCGGTTGGATAAACTGTGATAAAAGTTAGACTTACTCCATACCGTATACGACTTGCACCAACACTTAACACAAGTAAATGACCATCGGCTGATAAAGATGGTACTTTAGGTATATTATCTTCAGCATATTCAGGCCATGCAGCAACGACAATAGACATATCATGAAGTAAATTTTGTTCATCAATAGTATGTCCAACAGGTTTCCAATCATCTGCTAGACGAGAAATATTACTAAACTGATTATAATATGATGTGTGAGTATTCAAAGTAGTCGTTACAAATGTGCAATTTGTGTTGATGTAGCGAGATAGCAAAATAAATAGAATTAAAATAAAGAGAACAATTAACATACGAATACTAAACGATGCAAACACCATAGATATTCAATTAATCTAGAACTAAAAAATAAGTAAAACATACAACTAATGTAAGAGTTACAAAATTTGGGCGTCCACCTATTTACTCTATATATTTACGGAGAAATAACAATGTAAAGATGAAAGGAGAGTAAAGGAATGAATTGGAACTGATTAACAGACTAAATGAGTAAAGAATATGACACAAATAGTACTCTTTATACATGTATAAGAGAAAAAAGAATAATACTTACATATAACTGACAAACCATTATCTGTCATAAATAGTAAGTTTAACTAAAGTGTATCACAGACGTTTTCAATATTAATTCATACTTTCTCACCTACATCATAACAAATTTACTCTTCTTTTACTTTATGATCAACCTTTTTATGTGTAGTTATGTTTTCAAAGAAATGACTAAAGATATTTTAGTAAATGGATACTCAGATATCGACGATAATTTATCTCGTATGGCTTTTTTTTAGACAAACATTGATTCAAATGATTAACGAAATAAATTTCTCCTCAGAACGATATTAAATATTGACAAAAATTTATTTATACGATATATGAGAAGGATTGTCCTTCAAAATAGCATTAGCCTTTGATAAAAATATATTCCAGAGATTTATAAGAAAAAAAAATCCTCTTCACAATACCATAAACATTTTATAACAATTTATTCAAAAGACTTCTAAAAAAGTGCTCTTCACAATAATATTAACTTTTAATAAGGTATGTTGAAATTAACATATATTGTATACTAAATTTTCTGTAAATTATGGCATGTAGATTAAAAAGATCTCTTTTTGAAAATTTTTTATGGGTTATATTTATATGGAGTAAGTATAGTTCTAGTTCAAACCATGTTGATAGTGGGTGGCGTGTAAATATTGTTATCATATCATGTCCATACCTACAAAAGGAGAGAAAAAAATGATCCGTAGCATGATGGAAGAAGTGGTTCTACCAGAAACGGAATGAGATAAAATATTTGGCTCCATCACTTATATGAAAAAACTAATTTGGTATAATTACAAAATCGACCTATACGTAGTAGGGTCGACGCAATTAATTTTTACATTGCCGACTCCTTATAAGTGATAAACGAATTGTGTAGCATTTATCAATAGAGCTAATATAAAACATGAACTCGTGAAAAAAATGAGGGATTAATCTCGAAGTTTTTGTTACTTCACTATAAAATCATTGATAGTTTTTCATTAATTTTTACAAACTCTATTCTCACTGATGTTTTATATATAATCAAATGTTCTACTTAAATTTATTGGCACAACGACAATTTTTCATCAATCCACTACTCGTATCTTCTTATATAATGAACACTATCATAGAAAAAGCAAACCTACAGAAATATTTCAAACATCATATAAAAGGTTAATTTAAATATCAATATAGTATTTAATATCCGATTGAGGTGGCTACCGTGTGAGTGTGTGTGTATGTAGGTACGGGGTATAAGTGTTAATATCATATCCATGTTTTTCCTACACTCACACCCACCGACCCACGTGCACCCGCGCCCACACTCGCAACCACACCCACCCTCAAGATGGTATTTAAAGTAGTCGCCACGAATGGGTAGTTTGTGTTTATATAGACAGTTAATGAAATAAACAGAATTAAAATACATAGAATAATTAACATACGAATGATGAACGACGCAAGCGTGATAGATATTGAAATAAACTAGAACTAAAAACCAAATAGAACTTGAAGCCACACAAACTGCATTTAAAATACAATACTCTATTATTCCATTGTACAATCTTTGTTTGAGTATGGGTCTAGGTATGAGTCGAATGTGATACCGATGGACTTCAAAACATTTTCCGATATTCACATAGACTACGCACCAACAAAATTATTATTCAAAGTTGAGAATATAACGTTGACGCCACGAAAAAAAACATAAAGATTCACAAATGAATAGATAATTTTCTTATAATTATTGCTTCGATAGAATCGAAGAATCAAACGGAAGGTGCATTCCATACAATTGCTCTCGCGGCACCTGCTCCTTAATGATATTTTTCCTCCTGTGATATCTGCTCTTCAATATCAACGTTCGATCCATAAAATGTCTATTATTAATATGAAGAAAATAAAGTTACTCTGTTCTGTTTTCTTTTATACTTTCTTTTAGTTATTTATTTAATATCATATGTTTACAAGTCTTCTATTATTATTGTGTTCAATAAAGTAATTTAATTTATAAATTCTTCTTATAACTTGTAGAAACTCTGTTTCACACTATTGAAAAGCAAATCTGATAAGAGAGCAAATATTATTGAGGAATAAGTGTCATTGGGGAGCAAATGTCTTGGGTGCACCTTTGATGATACCATAATCAGAATATTAAGAAAAAAAAATCAAACAACGTCTAATTATTTTTTAATCAACTGTGTCTCTATACTTATACTTACAGTAATGACTACAAAATTAATTAATATAGAAATAATAAAATAAACATATGATTCTATGAGATAAGTACATATAATCTAGGTTTGATGCTATTAAATACATTAAAGTTCAAATTTTAACAAATTTTGAAGAATTGTTCACTATTTTCAACAGTTACACATATGTTTAAAGTCAAGTTTATGTTTGACAAAAAACGTTTTGGAACCTAATAGAATATTTATATATACGAAATTATTTTCTATTAATTAATAAATATTTTTATTTGTGGAGCTTTGCATAAATGTCATACTCTATGAAGAGAGAAGTCGCTAAGTATCGTTGTGGAATACTCATACAGTTCTGTACCTATTTTTCCATCGGTCAATATTGTTCGACCAATAGAAATCAGTCTCTATTTATTTTCAAAATCGAATTATTCAATATTGAAAAATTATATACATGTGCTTCCATGATTCATTTTTGTTAAAAAGGTTAGCAAATATAATTCAAAAATTTTATAGAGAAGATGTGAAAAAGATTTTATTGAATTGATCGATTCTTATTATTGATATTATAAGACGAACGAGAATAATCATGACAATTTATTGTAAAAAATGCATGAAAATATTCATTGAATTGTTTAATAAACAGTTAAAAATAATAAAAATAATTTTTCCATAATTTATTTAAATTATTAAATAATTACTTTTGTAGATGATGCGCGTCAATGCGATCATCATGGGCAATAAAAGGTTGTTCAAATCATTTTCTTCTTCAACATATTATAATTTTCTTCGATTATCAATTTCTACTTGTCAACCAAAGTAAGTTAAAATTTCAAATAAAGATTCTAATCATCCTATATTTTTGTTTAGCCGAATGACCTCCACTTCCTCGACAATCAAACCAAATACTTTTTCAGTATGTACATTTAATATATTAGCACCATGTTATAAACGTTTATCATCTGAAACTGATCGTGAAAGTGCATATGATAATCTATGGCAAACACGTCATTCATCAATTATAAAACTTCTTCAATCTCTTGAAAGTAATATTATATGTTTACAAGAATTTTGGTTAAAAAGTTCCGTATTTACTCAATTATATAAATCTAATTTATCATCCAAATATAATTTTTATACACTTCAACGTACCGGTTCACTTGATGATGGTTTAGCTATTCTTGTTGATTCTAATCATATAAAAGTCATTGATAAATGTGAATTAATATTAAATGATATTGGAAATCGTGTTGGACTTTTATTACATATGGAATTTAATGGAAATAATTTACTTTTATTAAATGTTCATTTAACATTTCCACATCATAGATTTGAACTTGGGGTAAGATTAAAACAAATAGAAAAATTTCTTGAATTAATATATGATTATCAAAAATCAAAAAATCTTTTAAATCAATGTTCAATTATTATATGCGGAGATTTTAATTCATCACATTATAATGATCCAGTTTATCAATTAATTGAAAAAAGTCAATTTCTATCCTCTTATCGATTTATTCATGGCAATGAACCTTATGTAACTCATCTAACACATAGAAAAGAACAATTAGGAGTAGATTTTATTTTTTATAAATCAAATATATTTCAACCAATTTCAAGTGAATTAATACCACGTGGTTGTAATCATTTAATATGGCATGATGATAGTCAATGGAAATTAAGTGATCATCGAGCAATTTTGACGACATTTCAATCTAAAGATAATTAATAAATTTCGACGTTTTTTTTGTGTATATTTTAGAAAAAATAAAGAAAATAGTTTGATCAAATAATTTCTATGTACATAATTTAAGTAAATATCATCATTTCCGTCATTGATTGCACTTAGAGAAGAAGTTACTCTAAAATTCTACTTTGAGTCAATATTAAAGATGAACTAAGTTTGACGTTAAATTTAGAATTAGTGTAAATAGTTATCATTTTCTATATACATATATTTATAAGAATTTAATCGACGTCATTTTATTTGTTACTATCATGATGAGAGAAAAATTGAACCTTGAGTAAAGTCATAATAAGAAAAAAATTGTTCTCAATAACGTTAAAAGCTAATTATAGACATTAAATAACATCTGTTATATATAATGGGTAATGCAATCGTTTTCTAAACGATACTATTAACACTTTGAAAATCTCTTATCTTGTTATCTGAAATAGTCTTGGACTATATATTCTTAGCTTCAAAACTTTATTATGTTACTTTTTATCCAGAGATAATGGAAGAAAGATAAGGTCAACAATAAAGAGACCATTTGTAAAACAAAATTTATATTCACCCGCCTATTTTTTTTTTGTATTTAAAAAATTGACAATATTTAAAAGTAATTGATCAACAGCGCCAAATATTCATTCATCTCATTTGTTATACAAGTTCTTTTATTTTCTCTAACTTTCTTCTTATGTCACGTAATAATAATTATCAACAAATACAAGAAGCGGCTTCTTCAATTCCATCATCAACAAAAGAATTTCTTCGTACTCAACAAAAGGATATTGTTTGTAATGATTGTGGTGGGATTTCAGCAACTAAAGTGCAACAATTATTATCAACACTCGAAGGTACTACACAATTATTCAATACAACACCATCTTCAAATCGAAAAAAACCGAATCGATCGATTTCAAAACCTAAGAAAAAAAATTCCGCACGTAATAATAGTCAAAAAACTTCTTTACGAAAAAATCTAAAGAAGAAAAATCCGAATAAACGAATTAAACAACGAAAAGTAAATACAAATCGAATTCGTTCAACATTATCATCTCGAAACAATAATAATAATAAAATTCGATTAAAATCAAAAAAATCTCATACAATTAAAAACAAAAAACTATCATTGAAAAAAAAATAAACTATTCTAAATATTTTAATAAACAATAATTAATTTCATATTTCAGTTTAGTTATAGACAAATAACTTCGTAATAGTGTTAAAACAAACATATATATGCCATATATTTGAAAAGAAAATGATTGTAAACAATAATGTTTTCGATAAGTGTGCATGATAAAAACAAAAAAAAAATTCGACCTTACAATAATATAAAAACTGTACGACTTATTTTATGAATCAACAAAATTTTAAAAATAACACTATGACATTGTACGTTACGTTCCTTTTTCAATGCCAGACATTCAATTTTATGAATTTTCTTTTATATTAAAATTGTTTGATGGTAATCGAAAATTTGTATCAGACACGTAAAATTCAAATATTAATTTTCGTATTTTGCTTGAAATTCAATAAACTCGTCTCGAGTGACAATCTACTTATATAATAATATGTGGTATTATAAATTTTTCTTCTTCTTGATTATACTAGAAAGAAGAAGAAAAACACTCCACATGAACATATCAAATGTAAAAGTACTTTTCTTTGCTTCTGCTTAGTCACTCTAATAATCGCAACCTTGATTTTGTCATGCTTCTTTCAATCTAATTATGTTTCTGCCATACGTCATTGTAAAAAAATCACCGAAGACATATTAGTCATCTCGTTAGATTAAACAAAATAAAAAAAAAGTCTCGTTTGTGATACGTAGATGATTGACACCTACGAATCGATTTCTTTTTCAGGGTATTTGTTGCTATGATGAAATGACATAAGTAAATATAATTTAGTAACGTTTGTTTGCGTATAAGTTTTTTTTATTTCAATAACATGATAGGATGAAAGAGAACGAAAGAAGGAAAAAGAACTTCATGTATCGGTATGACTTTATTTAATATTATATATTCATCAATAGAAAAAAACATTTTCAATTCTCTGTAAAATGATAAAAAGCGAACAACAATATATAATGAATTTTTATTAATATTTTCTTTGTGCATTAGGATTTCGATTGATGGCTGGCGCTGCTGGTGGTGCAGTTGGTTGAGGGTTATAACTAGGTCTTTGTTGTTGTGGATAAGTTGGTTGAGGAGCAGGATAATTTGGTAATCCTCCAGCAGCAGGTGCTACTTTTTTAGCTCGATGTCTTGAAACCAAATAAACAATTATATAAACAAGACATAATACAATGCATAAACCACCAACACATAATTGTACAAGTTGAAAGAGAAATTTTGCTTGTGTTTGTGTATAGTTTTGAAATGGACCGAGGTTAGTAAATATATTAAAAAAACCCTGTTGAAAATAATAACTAAACATTGTTGTTGATGCTGCATAATCTGCACATGATGGAGTTAATATACATGTTGACGGTAATGCAATGAAAACAGCATCGAATGCTACCATTGCAGTACAAGCAATGAGTGCAACTATCGTAATTAAAAATGTAATAAAAGCAGTTGTAAGACCAGGTGCACAACATCCTATAGAAGATATTATATTTAATAAATTTATATCTAGGTAAAGATAAAAAAACTTACCAGTAATAAATAAGGCAAGAAAATGAATAATCATTATACAACCACACCAACCACCTGCAAATACATTCGTTACCCAAAAATTCGTTGCCACATTACCCAATTCCGTAAGAAAAAATACAATAACTGCAATGACTTCAATAATACCCATTATTATCATAAGCCATTTAGGCCATACTTGAACAAAAGCAACTTTAGTTGGACCAGCCATATTTTATTATGATTTAATCTATTTAATAATACCAAATATTACTTATGCTGGATGTTTTCAAATAAAAATATACTGCTAACGTTTTTGCTTTTATAGCAAAACTATTTATTTTCTCTTATTTTTTTTTCTTACACACTTCTTACTTATCTACCCACTCTTTTATTTCAATAGAATTTATAAGAAGGAACACCACAGAAAGAGAGAAGAAAAAAAATCGTTCTTTCTTTCACTCTCTGACAAAAGAAAATTTTAGTAAACACGAGAAGCAAAAAAAAATAAAGTGATCATGTTCTACCTCCCACCGATCAGTCACTACTCTCAGCATTTAATAGAAAAGAAAATAGAATTAATTTCGCTTTTCGGGAATAAATCAGTCAAAAAAAGGAGTAAAAAATAAACAAAAAAAGTAACCGAAACGAATCTTATACATACTGACGTCATTTAAATTTAGAAAAATATGTATTTGTTATTTTACAATTAAAACTGTCAGCTGGCTTGTCATCTATCGGTGCGAATCTTCAAAAAGTCATGAATATATTTGTTTTACAATTAGAAACTAACCATGTATGTGTTGATTAAACAGAATAATTTTTTATTTTGAAACAAAATTATTCTTATTTTCTTCAAGTACATCCTATATTTTTAGTAAAAATGTAAGAGTACTTTTACTAAATGTCTACGATATTTAACGGAAATTAAAATATATTTACTATGATATTATTATCAAGGGTTTATTAGAATAAAAAAGAATATTCTTCGCGGACAAAAAAAAAAGTGTTTTATTATTTATCATCTACTTCTTTGATAGAAACAACGCAATACTTCCTAACTTTTCTATTAAATAAAGTGGAATAAAAGATATAATCATCAATATTATGATTAACTTTAGAATGAAGTTTTAAAAGATAAAGTGCACCTATGGACTATTCTATCATTCAAATCAATTATTAATACTGTCGTTTTTTTCTTTAGAATTTCTAAATGTTCAATTAGCAACTATTTTATTATTCAATAGTTCATTATATTTTTTTTCTTTCTCCGAAGAACATTAATGACTGGAAAATACCAAGTTATCGTTTCTACGGTATTATTATTCATAAAATAAACATGTCTTTCTCTTATTAACAAATATATGTTTATGTTAGTTAAAAATTTGAATAAATATTTATTCTCATCTTGAATTAGTCAAAACAAAAAGTAGTAGTATGCATAAATTATTATTAGTTTTTTTTCTTTTCTGAGTCCTACTTATTGTTCAGAGAAATATTTTGTCAATGATTAAAACGGAATTATCAATCACATTCAATATGGCATTTTTCTATTAGAAATTTATGAATTATTTATTTCCTTGAAAGAAAGGTTTTGTTATTCAATAGATCTTTCAATGTTCTTAATTTTTATTAGAAATAACGAAATATAGTTTGAATTAGATATGCACCAGTTCTATAAAATGGATGACAAAAATAACAAAGCTATTGTCAAACTTTGAAGAATTAGACGGAAAGAGAAAAGGATTGGGGGTGACTGTTAAAAAATCGGAAATACTTGTTTTTTTTATCGGTCACCTCCAGTCCTTTTTTCTTCGCGTCTTATTTTTCAAGTTTTAACAATAGCGTTATATAGTCTGATCGATAAAGACGATTTAAAATGTCACATCTGTCAACAACTCATTTTTTTTCTTCAAAAGTTTCTCTTATTGAATATGTACATGTCAAATATTTAATAACAATTTGATTGTTAGCAGAACTCTTCAAATCATGTTCATAAATGTGTTCTTTGGAATCACTAAAAAACCTGTATAAATTATCTTTATTTAAAATTAAAAAAAAGGGATATTTTTCAAAATTTACAATACAATGTGAACAAAACTGAGAATATATTCATTTAAAAAAGTTCTTAGAAGTCATTCGTGTAGTTTAAATTTAGAATAGTAATTTGGATTGCTTTTTAACTCAATCATATTTAAAACCACCGCTAGGCATGCCAGCAGCAGGTAACTTGCTCGGATCTGGTTTTGTATTTTTTGTGTTTTGAGTATTATAACCCATTCGTTCTACTGGTTTTATTGTTGTTGAATGTTGATGGGTCGATGACTGTGGGTTCGGCATTCTTTGTTGTTGCTGTTGTTGTTGATTTCTATTACTTTGAATGCGGCTTCCTTCGTAATAAAGCCACTCAGCAGTACAAACAAGTAAATTTACGGCGTAGAGCTTTTTACCCCAATGACGAAGAATAGCTGAGGCACCGTAGTAAGCACCAGCTAATTGACCATAAACGGCAGCAGTTGTATCTGTATCGTCGCCGAGATTAACAGCATTAAGAGCACCAATTTCAAATGAGTTCTCATCAGACCAAAATGCCCATAAAGCGGCTTCTAATGTATTAATAATATAATTTTTACCACGAATACCCTCGTTATAACCTCCTTGTTTTTTATATGATCCTTGAGCTACACGTACGATATCAGGGTGAAGTGGTTCAGATCCAAACCACTTTCGATGGCTTTCATAGAATTGTTCGTGTAACAAATCTTTTTTAGGTTCGCCCGAAATTGCAGCAACAATCAAAGCTGCATAATAACGACAAGCATCAACTGCTTTTACGTCACCATGAGTAAGACGAGCACTCTCACCAGCTAACTGAACAGCAATATCGGGCTGTCTAAAATAGAAGAGTGGTACAGGAGCAAGACGCATTAGAGGTCCGTTTCCAGCTTCTCCTGTTTCACCACAACATTCATTAAAATTCTGTACGCGTCTAACGTCTTCTAACGGCAAGTTATCAATAACTTCTTCCTTCGCATTTTTATAGTATTGCTTGAGGATATTCTGTCGTTCACAAAATTTTTCAAGTGAAGAACGAGTAGTACTACCGATATCAAAACATTGTCCAGTTGATGAAAGAAATCCTTTTTTATACCACCATTTATAACGAACCATTTGATCATAAGGATTATATTGATGCTGTGTGATTAATGATGATGCTAGACATAATGCCATAGAAGTATCATCTGTCCATTGTCCTGCATCCAAACCCCATGTGCCTCCACCTTGCATATCATTGACAGGATGATCTAGAAGATATTGACGAGGACGAAATTCAACACTAGCTCCCAGTGCATCACCAATGGCGAGACCAACAAGAGATCCAACTATTTTTTCCTGTTCATCCGATTTCGAGTTGTGTAGTGGTGGATTTACACATTTAATATTAGAAGGTAGTATTCGAGAGTCAGGATGTGGAAACTGCATTATTATAATTAATTGTTGTTGTAAATGAAATATACACCAACAATTATTCTATTCTGAAGGAAGTAGATCTGTTCGTGAATAGTACAGCAGTGCAGATAAAGAAAAAAGAAGAATAATAAACTGCGTTTTTTTTTCGAAATTTATTACAACTTTTACTTCTTACTAACGTGTCTTCTTACTTTTTCTTTTCTGTTCTTCTTGACAACTCTAGTTGTTACAATTACTTTTAATTTCTTTTATTTTCAGTCTTCACAACCGATTTATGTAGAAATACGCATGGTTAAAATAAAACAAAAAGACATTTACTTGGCAACATTTTTTAAATTGTACCAATGAAAATAACGTTTATTCTGCGAAGGACAAATTTATAAATTATTCGTATGAAAAAGAACAATGTAAAAGATTTTCTTTTCTTTATCGCATATGTCGTCGAAGGTCCTTTAAAAAAGCAAAATCTTCGTCAAACTTATCTCATTATAATATTTCAAAATAGATTTTTTATTCATTCACTTGATAAAAATTCGTATTTGATATACATAACGACGAAGAATGAATTTAAAAAAATCAGACTTTGTCCTATATACAGACAACTTTGTTATCATTTTTATCGCATAGACGTCATCATTACAAATTATATTCAGAATCTGTTAAAACTAAAATAAAAATATCTATGTGAATTTTAGTTTAACATATTGTTGCTATATTATATTATACGTGTGTAAAAATCTTTATGATTAGATGAAATCGATATTTAAATCTTTTTATGAGAATTTCGTTTATGGTATATTTTAAGTAATTACACAACTAATATTTAAAATTTAAAAACTTAAAAAGATAAGAAAAAGTTAAAAATATATAGAAAAGAAAAAGAAAAGATAAGCATTTTGTAATTACATCATATATTAAACACATATGCTTTAGTTTCACAGCATTACAAGAACAATTTTTATCTTAGTTTTTACTAAATATTCATATATATATGAGTGAATATTTTTTATTTGTTTTTATATCTATAGTCATTATCGATCAGTTATTGTAGATATTAAAAAATATATAATCTACTGGTTGACTTTCTAGAATAAATCGATGTCTTATATTTCTTTATTTCTTTTCATTTCATTACTTTGTGTAATTCAAATATCAAGTAGAGTCATTAATAGACATACGTACAATTTTACTATTGCTTATGCTGATAATACCACATCAGTTTTACTTGTTAACAATCAACTTCCAGGTCCAACAATTCGAGTTGATGTTGATGATATTGTAATTGTTCATATTCATAATGCTCTTCATACAATGGAAGAAGTTACAATTCATTTTCATGGTATGCTTCAACGACAAACAGCACACATGGATGGTGTAGGATATGTTACACAGATGCCAATACCATGCGGAAAAACATTTACACATGTCTTTCAAGCATATCCAGCTGGTACTCATATGTATCATTCACATGCTGGTTTACAAGCTGTTACTACATTTGGTGCATTGATTGTTGATGATCCAGAGAGACCATGGGAAGTAACAGAGGCACCATCAGGTCCAATTATGATATCTGATTATTGGGAAGGTGTTGATCGTCTTAGTCAAGAAGCTGGTTTAATGGGATCACCGTTTAAATGGGAAGGAGAACCGTCAAATTTATTAATTAATGGTCAAAAAAATTTTGTCTTAACTCTTGATCCAGGTAGAACATATTTATTACGATTAATTGGTGCAACAAGTCTATCAACGGTTGTTTTTGGTATTACTCAACATCCAATGACTGTAGTTGAAGTCGATGGAAAATTAGTTGTACCAAAATCAAATGTATCATCAATTGAAATTGCTTCAGGTCAACGTTATGCTGTAATGATAAAAGCAACAAATCAAGCTACCGGTATTTTTGCTATACAAGCATCAATTCGATGGCGAATTGCAACAGCAAATTCAAGGTTAATATCATTTTATTTTATTTCTAGATTAAAAATAAATAATCTATATTGTTTTTTTCAGTATTATTGGTCTTTTACGATATGGTGTACAATCTGTAATTCCAGCTAATATATCAACTCTTTTACTTCCTTCACTTTTTAATGAAACTGAATTGCTTCTGTTTGCTTTTAATGAACGATATCAAACATTACTTCCATCAGAAAGAATGCCTCCAGGAAATCAAGGTCATGCAGATGTTGAAATTCTTTTAGTTGCTACACAAGAATATACACCAGATGGTAAAGGTATTCGTTGGATGACAAATAATAGTACATTTGATATGGTTCGTTTAAAAAATTTAAATACATCACTTCTTATTGATTTATATCATGGCAATGAAGAAAATTTACCACAAGATGTTGTTTATACAATACATAATAATCAATTAGTTGATATTGTTATTCAAAATACTGTTGCACTTAATGGTGTATGTGAATCGCATCCAATGCATTTACATGGACATAAATTTTGGATACATTCCTATGGAACTGGTTTATATAGTCCCGCTAAAAATATTCTTCCAACTAGACGTGATCCAGGATTACGAGATTCAGTAATGGTATATGCAAGTTCATATGCATATTTTTCACCAAATCGAAATGTAACAAATCATGGAAAACCATGTGGATGGACAAAAATACGTATGATAGCTAATAATCCAGGTTTATGGATGTTTCATTGTCATATTGGTGCACATTCCTATATAGGTATGAATATTCTTCTTAAAGAAGATATTGAAAATTTATCAATGGTTTATTTATCACAAAATTAATTAATTTTTAATTCTTTATTTTTCTAATGTTTATATATGTCGAAGATATTATTTTTCAAAAAAACAATTTTCATAAAATGATTTCGACAATAATTGAGACGTATGCAGAAATGAGTTTATTTTATAATCTTAATTAATAAGATTTATAATGAAAGAATTTTTTTATACATATTTTACTAATTATATATAAAATTTTCCTTCAAATACATTTTATTTATTATTCAATTAAATTACAAGAATATATAATTATGTTAACTGAATAAATTTAAATATCTCGATTTTATTAATGGACTGAATTTTAAAGTACAAAATACTCGTTGATTATAATTTATCGAGATTATATTTATTTTAGCTAGTAAATACAATGAACATTTTTGTATTAATAAAAAGTATCAACAATGAAAATAATGTTTTTAATAATACGAATTGTTCTACTGACGAATATAAACTATAATTTAGATGTAGGATTATATTTCATTGAAGTTGACTGTTTTCTTGATGGCCATTCTTCACTTTCATAAACAATCCATTTACTTAAACATGTAATAAATTTTCCAGCATAGATTTTCGAGATCCATCGTTCAGGTAATTTTCTATAGCCATAATATGCACCAGCTAATTGACCGTAAATAGCTGCTGTTGTATCAGTATCATCACCAAGATTAACAGCACTTATAACACCATTCTCAAATGAATCTTCATCTGACCAAAAAGCCCACAAAGCAGCTTCTAAACTATCAATAACATAACCTTTTCCTCGAATTCCATCTTCATAACCATTTTGTTTCTTATAAGATCCTGCAACAATTTTAAGAACATCCTCATGAAGTGAGGCAACACCAAACCATTCTCGATGTTTTTGATAAAAATCTCGATGTAATAATTCTGATTTTGATTCACCTCGAAGCGCAGCAACGATAAGAGCTCCATAAAATCGGCAAGCATCGACCGCTTTTTGATCTCCGTGAGTTAGCATAGCGCTTTGACCAGAATATTCTACTGCTTTATTTGGATATTTCCAGAAGAAAAGTGGTACTGGAGCTAAACGCATGAGACCTCCATTACCAGCAGCATCATGCTTACCACAAAATACATTGAGATACTTTAAAATACGAGGATCGGATAAATAATCTATATCTTCCAGCGGAAGTTGATAATGTTTAGCAAGTGTATGTTGACGATCTTCAAACTTATGTAACGATTCTCTAGTAGCAGCACCAATATCAAAACATTGTCCTGTCGATGACATATAACCATTTCTATACCACCATTTATAACGAACTAATTGATCATATGGTTGAAAATCGTGACAAACAATGAGTGAAATAGCCAGACAAAGTGCCATAGAAGTATCATCAGTAAACTATATCCATAAATACATTCAATGTTTTTATTTTTATGAATATTAGTACCTGTCCTTGTTGAAGTCCCCATGTTCCTCCACCTTGAAGATCTGTCACAGGATGTTCAATTAAATATTGACGAGGTCTAAACTCAACATGAGCACCAAGTGCATCACCTACAGTTAATCCCATCATAGAACCTAGAACACGATTGAATAAATTATCATTAGTGCATTCAGGAGGATCATGCAGGGAAGCTTCAAGTTCGTTGGGTTTTACAATAGTCTTTTGATCTTTATCATGATATCGAGGATTAAGCCAATGCATATCTAAATATTATATTTAAATTTAGTAAAATTTATAATGATTATCGAACAGTTTAGTTTAAAAATATAATTTTTTTGTTGTTGATAACTTACCTGCTTGAGAATATGACGAAGGACAGACGGATACTTGTGTTTTAGATGCTAAAATAACAAAAAAAAATTATACTCAGTACCTCTTCTGATAACATTAAGCATACGATAAAGAAAGCAAAATGTTATATTATTTCTTACATTTACATCCCATTATATTGTAACAATAATTGTTGAAAAAAATCTAATTTTTGTGTCGTACAAATTATTATATTAACTCTAGAAGAAGTACTTTTTCATGACTATTATACGGGTAAAATAATGAGTTTAAAAAAAATAATGAGTAATCGTATAAATGTCAGACAAATACTGAAATTACATGTATGTAAAAATACAAGTAGTCGAGTTTATTCATCAATTTGCGTAGAAATTCGATATTTCAACATGTCGTAAGAAATTGGTGAAAAAAAACCTTTTCTTTTGATATAAATTAAATGTCATAGACGAAGAATAAATCATGTTTAATAATATATGACAACATCTTATGACTTCTTATAAGTTTTTTGTGGTTGTTGTTGTTGTTCTTTCAAATAATGTGAATAAAAAAGAAGTGTTACTAACAACAATAATTTGTCGTTAGAAGACAATAGACAGAATAAAAAAACTACAAGTTTAAATATAGATAAGAGTAATATCATTTTATAGCTGAGAGAATTTGAATTTCGATTCGATTCATTTAAAAATAATTTATTTCCTATTACAAAATAAAAATTCACAATTTATTAAATAAAATTTTCATAGGTTAATAACTTTCATCGTGTCAGAATACATTTCATCAGAAAGATTTTTTTCTATTCATGTATTTATACGATCGAAAACAATAATGCATGCGTATTATTTCAATATTATACATGATTTGTTTCGTTCTGTTTTGTTTTGACTCATTTGTGATTATTACATGCAGATATGTATCACAAAGTAAATGAAAAATTTGCATTGTATCATATTTCGCAATCTCTATTAGATTATCAATTTATTAGCATTGATTTCACACGAGTACCTCCTTTTACCTTAGTAACACTAGAGATGTAAATAATGCAAAATGAAAGCAAGTTTTTGTTTTCGTTATTTTTATACATGGTTAAATAGAGCTCGTCGAGTTCAGTAAAAACGACTGTGTTTTAATATTTTTTCAAATTTTAAAAATTTTTTCGTTCTGTTATATTTATAAAAATAATACATTCGAATTTCTAGTGAAAAACTGCGTTGATTTTGTATTGTTTGCACCTTATCTTAGTTGCAACGAATCGACTGATCGCTCGTGCTTTATTTAACCGAATGAATATAACAACGAAGAGAAAAGAATAAAAAGATATGAATATCTATCTGTATTCGTCGTCAATTAGGCGAAACAGTGATGCAAGAGAGTAAAATTTTTTATTACACGGTCAACTACCGTACGTGCACAAATAAAAAAAAGATCGATATTTAGTAAGACGTATTATTTTCACTTGGCTATTCTCACTCTATTGACTATTAAAATGAATGAAGAATCGAAGCTTCCCTTGGACTTTCATTTGAACGAAGATGAATTAACCAACGAAGCCAAACGTCTATTTCCATTCTATACAGAAATCATCGAATCTTTAAATTATAATGCTGAAAGAATACTTAACAATACTTTTATACCAATCAGACAAAAATATATTATCTGCTCAAAATTAAGTCAAAGTTACAACAATGTTAAAAATGTATTGAACTATTTATCAACTAAACCACTGAAAACAAAACAAAAAGTCAACGAATTTCCAATGATTGTTATTGCTGGCCTGCCTCGAACTGGTACAACATTATTACATAATCTGATGGCTTGTGATCCATCATGTCGTGCTCCGCTAATAACTGATATGGTCCATGAAACAATACCACCGATTCCACGATCAAATACTGATGAACACAGACGTCGAGCAAAACTTATAGAAGATACTGAAACTAAAGCATACGCGACTGCCAAATACGACCATAAAAAGTTTCTAAAGAATTTCTCTGCATCACATGCTTTATTTCCTCATGAGGAAGATACTAGACTACTACGGCAAGTTGGTGTCGATTTTTTCAATGTCATTTCTGCATTTAAAGATACAGATTTCACCGAATGGTTTATCAATCAAAAAAATAAAGATTTCTGCTATCAATATCATCAAACTGTTCTACAAATGTTACATGATGTCGATCCACCTCGCACACATTGGCAATTAAAAACTCCGCAGCATACACTCTGGATGGATACATTACTTAAATATTATCCTCAAGCATCAATTATCATGTCTCATCGTCGTCTTGATCAAGTGATACCATCGATACATCGTCTAGGTTTTTCCAGTATTGCTCATTTCTATGATGAAGAAGACTCAACTAATCTGAAGTTGAACTTAGAAGAAACGCTGTCAACAATAAATGATACCTTTATACATCGTCTTATAGAATTTCATCGTCACCAATCATCCACAAAGCATATTTTCGATATTCAATATGAAGATTTAATGAAAGATCCTATTGGTACTGTGCGTCATATTTATGATCATTTTGATTTTCTAGAATGGTCTGACGAATTTGAAGAAAAAATGCGTGCATGGTTGATCGAGAATCCACAAGGCAAACAAGGACGAAATTCTTATTCGTTGAGTGAATTCCATTTAGAAACACAAATGGACAAACAAATTTATAAAGATTATGAAAAAATGTTTCTTCGAGACAAGAACTAATTATCTTTTTTACACTTTACTCAAGCAAATAGTTTCTACTAGATTTCTAAACAAAAATTCTAATAAATAAATCATTCATTTTTTGTTCATGTTGTTAGTTGTTGATAATCAAAGTTTTGGTGTCAAACGAATAATAGCGAATGAATGTACAATCGGGGCAAAAAATTCTGGGACAGTGAAGAATATCTGACGAAAGTTTTATATTTCATTTGAATCTCTTCATTTTACAACCATATTTTCATTAAGGAATATTTTTAAAAACTGGTAAAAATTGGTCAGATCGATGGAGTTTTTCACGAGGAATCTAAATATGTCATTCTCATAAATTCCAAGAACTAGAAAAACCCTCTAAAACTGACAAAACCTTAAAAAACGAGTTTTTTTAATTTTTTTCAAGAAAATGGATTATTCAGTATTTTGGAAAAAAATCAAAATTTTTCCTCAGAAACATTTCAAAAAAATATTAAAACTGATATGCTTACACAGCTTGACGAGGTCTATTCAACCATGTGTGAAACAGCAAAAAACATTTGCTTTAATTTTGCATTGTTTGCACCGTATGTTGAAATTCCTTCCTGGAAATAACGGTTATATTATTACTCATCTATTTTCGTTCTTTTGAAATCTTATGTGTTGACATTTCATTTCAAACTACTATCATTGAACCGTAACATGGTATTTCTCGCTATCTGTTAGTATGAAAAATTCTTGATGTTAATGTCGTTACTCGAGAATGAGAGTAGATAATACAATTATCTTTCATATGATATCATTCATTCTGAATTTTTGATGTTTAACTAAATAACTCTAACCTGAAATTATATTTTTCATATAAGATATAAACTAAAATTTTTGAAATTTAATATTTGTTAAAATATTTATTTTGAAAAACAAAAAGAAAAAAGAAATCAATTATACTTTTATTTGTAAAACTAAATTGATTTTGAATAATTTTAGATAAAGGATAAAGTATGTCAAATTGATCAAAACAAATATTGAGACTTGATATTTGATACTCTAAATGTTCAGAGAAAAAACTAGACGATAAAATATTAAATTAATATACACAGTGACGATATGATTGCATATGTTTTTCTATTATCGATAGATTAGTTTCATCTGAATCAATTGTAATCAGAGTTGCTGTCTTTTTATTTTTTGAAAAAATTCTTCATAAAAGACTTTTATCTAAACACATAGATACAATTATTAAGTAAATAAGAATAACCATAAATTTTTTATATGTTTAGATTAAGATTTTTCTAATCGAAATTGTTATTGATGATTCAATCAATTATAATATTCATATATTAGAGAATAAGATATATATATGTTACTAATTGATCTCCTGCAATTCTTCGATAATTTTTCTTCAAAACAAGTTCATTCAATCATCTTGAAATTTTGAGAAAAATATTTGGAATTAAATATATCAGAGTAAATCTATCAAGATTAATAGAACTATAATATTCCGCCTCTCATTATCATGGATAATCTATAAACATCTGTTCATCGTTATCATATTGTTGATGAACATATGATTCATTTGGATGCTTCATTAGTTAACAATATATACACTTAAATTTCTATTAGCTTTATTTTTTAAGAAGGTGTCACAAATCTAAATCAACAAACAGAAACGACAAAATCTACAACAATATCTATTATATAAAAAAAAGAACGAAACGTTCAATGATATTTATAATCGAGATTGACAACGAGGTTTACGTAAAACAATTGTATTTCGAAATCTTTTAAAAACATATGGATTTCGTTTAACAGAAATAAATCGAATAATTTCACCATTTGATGAAAGAAATAAAATAATTGGTGAATATAATTTAATACATGAACAATTTTTAATTGGTAAATCAAAATTAGTTTCATTTGTACCGGATTGTTTAAAATATCGAACTTTATGTTTATTTGCAAATATATAATTATTTTCCGATACTAATGAATTTTTAATTGGACGTGTACGGATTACAATTGATGAACGACAATAATCATTAAGTAAATCACTTATACTTGCACGTGATTTACACATTGAACATAGATCAGTTTTAGCGATTGTTGTTGATGGAACAGTTTGTTTTGTTGTTGTTATTGTTGTTGTTGTTGCAGTTGTAGTTGTTGTTGATGATGATGAATGAGATACACATAATTCTGTTTCTGCTGGATATTGATCACATGAAACTAAGATAAATGTATATATTTATAAAGATATCATATAGAATATTTTTTTATTTACTCATAGTAGGCCATTTATATCCAAATTGAGTAATCATTCTTGGTTCACAACTTTGTTTAACTGATTCACAAAGTGTACGACAAGGATATATAAATTTTTTATTATCATGTGTGATTGTATATATTGAATCTTGATTATTATCAAACGAAACAAGTGAAGCTTTTTCTGGTGTTTGTTGAAGACAAACAGGAGCTAATATTGAACAAAGTAATAATCGTGCATTTGAATGACATCCCAAACTAAGAAGTGATTGCCATAATGGTAATTCATAAAGTATTTCAGTTATACTTTCATGATTAAGTAAATTTGGTAAATGCATTTGTGTATAACCAAGTCCATAACATAATGTAAAATTCGATGGAATTGCTTGACAACGATGAATATTTCCTGGGAATAAATCATAACTTTCACCTGATGTACAACTAAGTATGAAGAACACGACGACGAACAACATTTCTATCAATGAATGAATATATGTATATGGAAGTGAAATGAAAAAGAAAAAATGGCTGTTAATTGAGCGGTATATAACTCAACTTCAATCGACAAGACAAGTGCCTCAGGTTTTTTTCTTTCTCTTTTTCTGTCTGCACTCTCGACTGAATATAGCCTCCATACTCGTTTTTCTTTTTCCTTTTATGAAATCAGTCAGTTGTTAATAGAAAAAAATTTTTCGCATCGTATGACACTAATTGACTTCGTTTTTCTTTAGTTGATTTAAGAAGTTGATGAACTGAATATAAACGATTAGTCATGCGTTAGATCTTGTTAACGCATAAGTGTGACAACATATAACAGCTGATGAAAAGATAAAAGGATATATGTATATTTCACTAAATAATTGATTGATAATTAATCATGAAAGAACGTATGTATTTTTTTTTGTCATCGTGTTGAATCCGAATAATAATATAATATACATATTTTATAAGAAAAAAAAATCGTATCTATTTTATTCTGCACGTTTGTACAGTAAAAATTTTTTTGTCTTCATATGGTTTATGTATTTTATAAGATTTATTAGAAGTAAGAAAAATTAACTATAGAAATTATAATATTAATAACAATAAAACTTGATATATTAGTATATGAGAAGTTTGTAATAAAAAAGATTATATCTTGTGTGTATGTGGAACCCATATATTGGGAGTTTTCCAATAGCCGACTGGTTTTTTTTTGGATTTTTTTGAACGACATCGACACATACCAATTAAGCAAATAAATCCAAGAATACTCACAACAATTATTACTATATGTTTAGCAGAAATCGATTTAGATAAATGCTTTGCATCAGATACTTTTGATGAAACAAAATTTAATACGGAGAATTCCGTTATATTATCTTGTGTCATATTCATCAATTGATAAGTAGTATTAACTGTATTATTTATTGATAATTTAGAAACAGCAGATGAATTGCTCAATACCAATGTTATCTTGCTAGTGTAAATTTCATGATTGGCACGACCAGTCGTTATTCCAGCATGACATCCGGCTAATGAAGCAGATAGAAGAACAATGAACATAATCATTGTAGTAGTATAGTTAGATATTAATTCTAAAATCAGTTAAAAATATTGGTTAAGTATAAATAGTATTAAAACTATCGCAAACACGAGAAGCAAAGCTTGAATACATATTTCGTTATAAAATAAATAATATATGAGATAATACTATTTATCAAAAACAACGGTCGTTTGTAAAACTTGAAGAAAAGTTTTCAGAATCTAGCAATAATTTGTCTTAATCTAATTTCAACTAATCATCTAAACTACTATCTTATTTCTCAAAACTCGATGAGTATCGTAATATTACATTATCTGTATTTATCTCTCTAAACTATTATAAAACAATGAACGCTCTTGAAAAAAATTCTTGTGAAAATATAATCTAAAGTTACTACTCGAGTATATCGAATGGTTTCTTTCTCCGTATCACTAATTTCAAATTATATAGACCTAATGTAAAAAAAAGAAAAACACCGTATATATAAAGGTCGAAAAATCATACGTCAGATGGTAAGTGACACACGCAATATTTGACCATGACACGGAAATGGATCTTACAAGAACTTTAGTTGGGAATAGTTTGAACGCTTATGACATTTTAACGTAATGTCTGTATTTGTTATGTAAAAGCTTACTTCCGTAGAGAAGTTTTTTCACAAAACCTTTATCACAATATCGTCGAGTCATTAATACGTCATTGTTCTTACTGCCCTGATTTCTATGATAATGCACCAGAAAAAAATGCTGACATAAAAGGATAGGAATTTTATATTTGCATTATATATAGATTATATTTATTCTAGATGATTATGAATTACAAAAAGAAAAATATCAGTTCACAGATGTATTAAAAAAATCGAGCAAAAAAAAATGAATTTTTTTTAATGTACTTGTGATGCAGTAAACAGATCATCATAAATAATGCATTCATCAAACATTGCTTGTCTTAAACAAGAATCTCAGAACATATTTTTCATCGTTACTTTGTTGTCTTTATAATAAAATAGATTAACAACGTTGGTATTTTGAATCATATTGTTATTCAATAATATTTTATTAACGTGTGAGAGTATTATAATGATTCTTAGTATATTTTTTTTCTTTTTAATTGACTAGGATAGTAATCGAAACTAAAAAAATTAGATATATTACGATATAAACATTGATATGTATATTTCTCAATATTATATGAATAATTTATTGTTTTGATCACTAAATAACTTTAGTAATTGTAATTGATATTCAAGAATAACATTATTATGATATTGTATCTAAATAAGAATTTTAATTGATTATCAGTAATTACGAAGAAATTACTCAAAACTAATACTGATTTTGATATTTAAATACTATATTCATTACCTTTGATATTGATATAAGATAAGAATAGTGACATTATTTTAACTATTATATTTACGCATCGACATACGTCATACATTTATAGAGTAAATACATATTATACAACGTCGATGAATAAGACTATATTATTTTACGCAGAATTCTAAGCACGATCTTTTCATAAAGAAATATATATTTATCAAATAGATAATATATGAGAAATTTTAATTATATACTACTTTATTTTCTATAAGAACAAAAGAGTAATATAGAATATACTAGTAATCGATATAAATTTCTATTCGTAAACAATAAGATCTTACTAAATATAGATATTAGATTAAAAATAAATTATAATGATAATTTTCAATATGATATTTATGACCTAGATTAGTTTTAATTTAATCTATGATAAATAATCAAAATCTGGACATAACACATTTGTTCAAAACAAAATTCTCTTATGATTTTTTTAAATTGTAGTTCAAAAATAGGATGGTTTTGAATTTCAATTAAGTATCGATCTGAATAGATTACTATGAAGTCTTATCGAATAATAAATAAAATAGGTCTGTATCTCAAAGATATTATTCATATCATTGTTAAATATCAATTCTTGTCTTGAATAATCAATAGTTCAAATCTAAAGAATAGATTACAATTAGAAATATTTATTAGATTAGTATTTTTCTATTGCAATATCAAGTGTAATAACTATAGATATAATCTTTGATTATTAGTTTCTATCAAATCTGTTTACTCGTATATATATATTTTTCTTTTGACATTAATTAATGATCATAGGATAGATAAGTGAAGAAATATGATTTCTTCTTGTCTCATTCTCATGTTATTTTTGTACAATTTCATCTGAGATAAATATATTATATACACACAAATATATAGTACTATACTTGTTACTCTTCTCATTATTTGCAGCAACAAAATGATGAAAGTCAATGGTATTTCATATATTTCGAATAATTCAATCTTACATGAACAATGTCTAAGTATACAAAGAACTTATCAGTATATGTTTAATACATTTATATCCTTATTGGTAAGAAAGAAAATCTTTTTTTTTATTTATAATTAGACACTATTAAATTAAATAAAAAACTATTTGTATAGATATTGGGTTTTATTCATTTACCATTGAATACATATTCATTAATAATGAGTAATTCATCATGGACAATTGCTTATTATAGACATATTTATATTATAATTATTAATATAATTTTGATTATTTTATATGGATTTGGTTTGTATGTTCTTCATCAACATTCTCGAACAGGATTACTTATAGTATATTATTTAATATTCATTTTTGTGAAAAAAATGACAATTTGATATTTATTTTATAGTTTGGTTGGTTAGTTACAATTGTTGATGTGATTGCTACTGTTGCTGTTTTATTTATTTTCTTTGTTACTATCTTTTTGATTGCACCCATATCATTTTATACTTTTGAAATCTTAACTGGTCTTTTTCTATTTACAATTCTTTTTGTTGTTGGAATGATCACCATGGTAAAGTTTAAATTTTATATATTTTATTTTATTTTGTTTTATTTTTTGCAAAGGTCATTTCAATAAAACATGCATTTAATCTATCGAAATTAATCAAGAATAACAGACGATTGACGATTGAAATCTAATTATAAACTATTTAATTAATTAAATATCGATTTAGTTTACAATAGTTGTTTTTATAACTAAATGAGAGTGTATGGATGTATTATTCATTTACATTCACATTCAACCTCATTGTATACGAAAAGAAAAAGAACGAAGATATGTTAGTCAAGCTACTTGTTTGAAATAAAGTTTTATATAAAACTCAATGTTAATACAATATTCATTGATTTGAAGTGTAAATAATTGATAGAAAAGCAGCAATTATAATTTTTTCTCAGATTCGATTAAATATAATAATCGAGTATTTAAGTATGAAACTAATTAATATTATAATCTACAGTATTCATTTATATTTGTGAGATAAGCATATCATTTCAGATAAAGAATGAATTGCTTTGTTCAAACTATGCAAACATGAAGAAGAACTTCTTTTATTTTGAAAAAGTAAGTGATTTTATTCTTCGGAAAAACAATTACATTAAAGAAGGGAATTGCTTTTATAAAAAAAAAAGATATTTTAGCAAAAATGGAATAGAAATAATAGAATATACTATGAATAGGTGTTGAAAAAATCATATGATAGTCATTATTAATTGAACTTGGTTCTTAATCTTCGTTATATTTGTTATAATGTTTAGAACTCTTTGTATAACTTGATTTAAAAGCACTGAAGACCATACTAGGCACTTTTTCTTCACATCCTGGTTGACTGGTAACAAAACCAAGTTTACCTTTTGCAACATCTGCAGAAAACATTATTTCAAGTTTATCACCAGCTTCCATTTTGATGACGGCTTGACAAACTAAAACAATTGTATCACCATCTACTGTTTGAACAGTGTTCGAATCTTTTATGTCTTTGCCATTTAGTCGCAGCCACAAATGCACATCACCATTACCTTTTCCTTCAAAACTTCCAGTCTGCCCAACAGCCATCATAAAGTATGTTCCCGGCTCTTGGAACTCAATGATACCATCATTATTCTTAATACGATATAAACCATCGTTGTTATTGAGATCAACTTTTTTCGGAGTTATACATCCCCATTGTGATTGTGAACTAGATAGTTGAGCATATGGAGCTGGATTTTCTTTGGTGCCTAATTCGAATATTGTTAATACCGAACTGACAACGGAGGGTTCGTTCTTCGGTGCCGTAGCAATGAAACCAAGCTTCTCGTTTGTAGTTGAGAACACATATCGTAGTTTATCGTTTGCTTCAACTTTGACAATGGTTTGACAGACCGCGCCTCGATTACTACCACTGCGAACGCTGTGAATGATATTGCTATTTGGAATGTCTTTTCCATTGAGCTGTGGTCCCAAGAAAATCTCACCGCTAGTACGAGTACCATCGGCACTTCCACCCTGGCCAATATATATGACAAAATAAATTCCTGACTCACTAAACTTGATAGATCCATCTGATCTGGCGGTTGGGATGCCTACTCCAGTAAATTGATCTTGATCATACGTAATTGCTTTGGAGTTCGAAGAGCCCAATTGAGTTTTTGAATTGGTCAGAATTAGATTATGAACTGGATTCTCAATATCGCTGAGCTGAATTTCGGATCTTATAATACTAGGAACTAGTGGTTCGTGTTTGAACTCTTGAGCAATCAAACCGAGAGAACTACATTTATTAGATGCGTGGGCTGCGATTACAACTGTGACTTCTCGACCAACTGGAGCTTTGATAAGTGAATCATAAATGAGTACCGATAAACTTCTATGTTCAACTGCTTGTATACTATTTGATGAAGGATTGTCTTCACCATTTTCTCGTGTCCATAAGTGAATTTCTCCATTACCATTTCCACTCTGAGTACCAACTTGAGCACCATACATCACGAAATAATAACCAGGAGTTTCATATAAAAATGTGTTATTTTTAGCAGTAGAATAGCCCTTCAAATCATCAACTTTATTGTATGTGATGGCTTTTGGATTTGTTCCAGTTAGTTGATTCTGTGAACTAGATGCTTGAAGATATGCGACATCATCGATTATTTCATAATCATGTTTTTTGTCTTTCGATTTCCTGTAAACAAAAAGAATAACAATAATATGTATTATTTATGTATACGATAATAAAAAAGCAGTGTATCAGTGACACTTAAGAAAGTTAATCATTGGATTAAACTGAAAATTGTATAAAATACTCAACTTATCGCTTACTATCGTATCTCGAAAGCTGAACTACCGTTCGATTATGAGTACTCAATTCATTTAGTCTCTCTCATGAATAAGATTTTATAAAAGTAGTATAATCTGGTTTTATCAAAATAAGAGAAGAATCTTGACATCGAACGACTTAAAAACGTATCTCATCTTCAATTTTGTCTTTTTTCATCTATGGCCAACTGTTAATAAAGATAACAACAATAAATGCCTCAGTTGTAAGCAGCAAATCTTACCCAGGTTTTGTCCACTGTGAGTTTGTAGTTGAACCGGTTGATTGAAAAACACTGATGATCATACTAGGCACAGCTGACTCCTTATGTGGTTTGGATGCGACTAAACCAAGTGTACCTTCTGTGACATCTGCAGAATACATTATTTCGAGTTTATCCCCACGTTTGATTTCGACGGCAGTTTGACAAACTAAAACGGCAGTATCCTTATCTATTGATTGAATCGTGTTCGAATCTGCCATATCTTCACCATTTAATCGCATCCACACTCGCACTTCACCAATACCATCATCATTATCACTTCCACACTGAGCAGCAGCCAACACAAAGTAAGTTCCTGGTTCTTCGAATTCCATGACACCATTATTATTTTTGATATGATGTGAACCATCATTGTTATCAAGTTTAACTGCCTTCGGAGTTGTACAACCCCATTGCGATTGTGAACTAGATAGTTGTGCATATGCAATTGGCTTTTCGTCGCTAGACAATCGAAATGTTGAAAATATTATACCAGGTACAAGTGGCTCATTCTTCGGCTTCGAGGCAATCAAACCCAGTTCTTTATTTGTAGTTGAGATTACCAATTGAATCTTATCATTAGCTTCAAGTTTAGCAACCGTTTGACTGACTAGAACTGCTGTACTACCACTGCGAATAGTTTTAATTGTGTTACTGTTTGCCATATCTTTTTCATTGAGTCGCATCCATAAATGAACTTCACCTGATGCATCAGTATCTTTAGCGCTTCCGACTTGACCACAAGCTATCAGAAAATAAACACCAGCTTCATTATACTTGATGATTCCATGTTTTTCAGCTGTTGTTATGTCTAGTTTATTGACTGCACTAGAACCATCCAGAACAACCACGTCAGAATTCGAGTTACCCAATTGAGTTTTGGAACTGAATAATTGTGCATAAGGAATTGTGTTAGTACCACCGCTGATCTGTAAAAACGATATTATAATACTGGGAACCAATGGTTCTTTTTCAGGTTGTGTGGCAATCAAACCGAGAGAGGTACATTCATTAATTGTGAAGGCTGAGTACAAGAGTGCGAATGTACAATCAACAGGAGTCTGAAAAACTGTCGCATAGACAAGAACTGATGTACCTCCATAAGGAACCGATTGTATACTATTTGAGTTAGGCTCGTTCTTACCACCTTGTTGCGTCCAGATATGAATATCTCCTTGAGCAACTCTGCGTGGACTACCAATCTGAGCAGCAGACACCCAGAAATAAACACCAGCCTCTTTGGGTTCAAATGTGCCGTTGTAGAATGCAGCGAAATCCTTTGATCCATCATTTTTATTGTATGTTGCCACTTTTCCTTTTGATTCACCTATTTGGTTCTTTGAACTGGATCCTTGGAAGTATGCAACGACATCGTTTCTTTCGTCATTAGCTTCTATGGTTAATAACTTGATGCTAATAACAAATAATACCAATATTATATTTAATATTTGATATTGTTTTGCCATGTTAATCAGTCAGGTGCTGATAATTACGTTTCTTTTTTAAAAATTTCCTCACGAAACAGTTACGTTAGGATGAAAAGTATATATTACTTATCTAAAAAACAAATCAAAACATGTGTTATATCGATGAGAGTGTCGGTGAAGGAGAGTCTGTGTATCTAGAAATTAAAGAACAACCACATCAACCACCACCCTCAGGATTCCCAGGACCTGTCATTGTTCAACAGGGTTCGGAGGACCTGCCAAGATTTATCAGGGTTTATGAGAAACCTCAGGGCCTATTAGGGCTTACCAGGATCCTGAGGGCGTATTAGGGTTTATGAGAGATTTCAGGGCCTATCAGGGTTCATGAGAGATCTCAGGGTCCATCAGGGTTGTTGAGAAGCCTCCACACCTATCAAGGTCCATGTAAGACTTCATAGCCTATCAGAGTGTATGAGGAGGGTGTGGGTGTGGTTGTGAATACAATATCAATATATAATACCTACATCCACACTCTCAAGATGATTATACTTTTATTGGTAAAATATGTCATCCTGTATCAGAAGAAACCCTTTTCAAATATGAGTTTTTGGAAAGAATGAAATAACTACATTTAAATTCATCGATATCCAATCTCATGTTTGAGTTTAACGATGATCAGCTCATTCCTATAGAATTCTATGGGAATTTGTTACGAATTTTACGATACAGCGATCGATAATTAATGAAAGATGTGTCTACTTATACATTAATCAAAATTTTGATACCATGCGTTTTGATGAAAAAAGTAATTAGAACATACGAGTCTAAGTAAAAATAAAACTTACTGCAAAAGGATTATTTTGAATACAAATTAAAAAAAGACAACCACTGTTTATTTGAAATAAAAAGTATGCTTATCTTACCTTGGAATAATATAATGAAAAAGAATTCTTAATATTTTGTAGCAAAAAGCTTGCCTTTAAATACTTTTTATCTGAAATAAAAAGTACGCTTATCTTACCTTGGAATAATATATTAAAAAAGAATTCTTAGTATTTTGTATCAAAAAGCTCGCGAAGGGTCGTTTAATAGCTGCAATAGATAAGGAAAAGAAGACCATTTTAAAATGAAATTGATGATTATGCAGAAAAACACACAATTCATCATATGATATTATTTTCATGTGTTATCACCCTTTTTATCATCTTTTTCTATATGTATGTACACAATTCTCTTCTCACTTCGAGCGCTGCAGTTGTTATACAAAATATTATCTGTTGTTTTATAATTATTAACATAGTGGCCCTTGAAACCTGCTAGCAAAACTCGTATACATTGATTATTCTTTTATTTTCATCACAACGACCAAAATAAGTATTTAGAGTAACACATGATTCGAAGTAAAGAGCAAACATATACAAAGAGATCTTTGCAATAGATAAGAATAAGAAAACAAAAAGAAGTCCAAAGTATTGTGCTCGATGAAAGTATTGAATGCAGTTTCAAAAAAAAAAGATTATGTACAACACTAAAAAAGATTCCTTCCATAAATATAAACTTCAACAAATTTTTGGTTCTGTACAAAAAGGAATTCGTAGCAAACAGCCTGTCTCAACATTTCAATAAGTTTATTCTACTCATAAAATAAATTAACTCATCTTTCTTATTACTGCAACCGATCTATGATATAAAATAAATTGATCTAAACTCCTCTTTTTCAGCAATCGAGTTACATCTCAAAAATTAATATTCTTTTCGAGATGTACGTAGGAAACAAAGCTAAATGCAGTTTTAACGTCATCGATACAATTCCTGTTATTTATTTTCAATTAAAAATCTCATCAGACTTCTGTAAATTTACTTTGGGAAAAAGAACAGGAAGAAAAAAGTAAAAATTAAACTATTAGATTGCTATGAAACGAATAGTTGTGATATATGTATTCAAAATATAAAAATGATGACAATGTTTCTCATTTTGAATGTATCTCGACTTCGAGTACATGATAATATATTCATTTTTGTCTAAATGATGCACCATGAATAGTTCAACAAAAGTTATATTACATGGAAAAATCTATATAAATATGCATTACTGATCTACTAAATGATTCAGAGTATGGATGTGTATGAAATGGAATATCTGCACTCACATTCACATTCTTGATTTTAATAAATTCTGCAAAAATATTTTATATGATTTTAAAATTCTATACATTCTTCGATACTTTTCCTTGGAATATCATAACGAATGCTTCAGTTCATTCGATCACACAATTTTAATGAATTATCAACTGACTGTGTTATTTCCATATCTTTTTGAGTTATAAGAAACACTTTCACCTGTGAAAGTATAATGATTAGATGACTAAAATATTTATAAAACATGATCTAAGAGTGAATTTCAATTCTTTTTTTTCATTATTTTTATTTCTCGTATTTCATATAAATTTAAAATATATAAATGTAAAGCATGTAATAGAAAAATTCTTATATAATTATATTCGAATAATATATCTTGATAAAAAATTTTACATGACATGTTTATGTAAAAACATCTACACTATATCTACTAGTACAGATTTTCTCAAAAATCTCTGCTGCTTTTGTTTCATCACATTGTTTATATTCTTCGATGATCTTAATAAAACATGTTTTCATCCCTCCAGAAAGTTTCGTTGCACTTCCACAAGTATAAAAGCGTGCACCTTCTGAATAAAGTTTTGTGATAAATGTTCGATCTTCCCAAACTAAATCCTGAACATATTTTTTTCCATCATTTGATTCTCGAGAAAAAATAGATTTCACTTGTATAGCACCAATTTTTGACCATTTTTCAAGTTCATCCGAATATAAGAAATCTTTCTGTGATCGACATCCAAAGTATAAAATAGTAGGACCAACTTCTCTACCACACACCATCTGTGCTGCTCGTTCTTGAATAAAACCACGAAATGGTGAAATTCCAGTTCCAGCAGCAAACATAACTATTGGTACTGTAGTATCCACAGGTAGATGAAAATTTACATTACTTGCTCGAACGCTGCAACTGAGACGATCACCTGTTTTTAGACTTGCAAGATAATTGGAGGCAACACCATAGTATCGTCCATGTCCACTTATTGCTGGTGCATCAAGTATATCAATGGTAAGTGTCACTGCTTCAGAATTCCATAGAGGTGATGAAGAAATACTATATTGACGAACACGAAGTGATGGTAACATACGAAGATACTGTGGAAATGATAGATCACATGAAGGATATAGTTCAAGAATATCAAGTGTACTAAGACGCTTATTGAGAATCTCCGCTTGATATGCATCACCACCAAGACTTTCAAGTTGTGTTTTTTCCTTTTCGTCATTGCACAATGTAGCAAGTGTTTCTACTTGTTTTCGACTAATTGGTTGAGTCAATTCGACATAACCAGTTAGAATTTCAGATGCACTCACTGGATAACCAGTTGGAAGAAAAGTTTCTGTTGTTGAAAGAATTTTAATTTGTGTATCTGCAGATAGATCAAAACGCTTGAAAACTCGTTGAACAACTTCAGCTGGATTAGTTGGTAATATAGCGAGATAGTCTCCTGTACGATAGGTTTGTCCTTTTGGTAGTTCAATTTCGATATGTCGTTTTGCAGGTCCTAATTCGCTTGCTTCAACAAGTAATTTATTATCTTTAACAATTCCGACATCAGTTATTTGTCCAAGATTTCTTGTTGAATTAACAATTTCAATTGAAAGTTTTTCTTGACTAATAACATTTTGAAAACCAAGAGTTTTACGTAACACTTGAAAAAGATTTTCTTTCCAAGCTTCAAATTCACCAAAAAAATCACCTGCAGCATCACCAACTCCACGTTTGATAATTCTTGTTCCACCAGCTTTTTCAATCATATCATCGATATAAGTTGGAATCTTTTGATATGTAGTTACCCAATCATGATGACCTGCTCCAAATACTGCATAATTAATTTTCAGTTCTGGTTTTGATTCGAGATAAGCAACAAATTGTTTAGCATTATCACAGGGTTTACCTTCGTATGATGCAGTAACTATAATTATAGGTCGATCACAAGGAAGAGATCCAATAGCAGAATCAAGTGTTGCAATTGTAGCATTGAATCCATTAATAGGTGCTTCCGAAGCTAAAATTCCTGCAAACGATTCACATGAACCAGAGTTACTACCAAAAAGAATGGACATTGGTTTAAGATTATTTGTTTCGAGTAATTGTGTATCAATAGGTATCTTTTCAGATTGTTTAATGTTCATGTTTAATGCAGTTTTAGCTCGGTGACGTGGTCGAACTCTCATTTTAAGACCTTCAGGTTTGATTGTTAACGTTTGTTTAACACGAAGATCATAAGAAGGATCAACAAATTCAATATTAAAATGTTTAAGAATGAGTGCAACGGCAAGAACACTTTCTTGCATAGCAAAAGAACGACCAATACAACCACGTTGACCATTTCCAAAAGGTTTCCATGCATTTGGTGGTAAGTTTTCGAATCCTCCATCGAGCATTCGTTCAGGTAGAAATTCTTCTGGACGATCCCATACTTTAGGATCACGATGTAATTGTGGCAATAAGACTAATAATCTCTCATTGTTAGTAACTTCATAACCACCAGGTAAAACTGTTTTGTCTTCTTTTAATCGCAGGCCGAATGCTGGTGCTGTAGGCTGTAATCGAAGCGTTTCTTTGAGTACTGCATCGATATATTTTAATTTAGGAAGAGTGTCAATAGTAATTTCATCGTACTGATCAGCTTCTGCTTGTACTTTTTGTAAGACATGTGGATTTTTTAGAAGATAATAAAATGTAAATGAAAGAAGTCCCGAAGTTGTTTCATGTCCTGCAATCAAAAAAGTGACCATTTGATAACGAATATTTTCATCGGACAAGTGATAGCCAGTATCTGGATCTTTTCCTTTGATCATTCGATTGAGCAAATCATTGATATCATTTGGATGTTCTCGTCTTTGTTGTACGATTTCATCACATAATTTATGAATATATGCAATATCATCGTTATATTGTTTCGCTGTTCCACGCATAAGTGTATTTTGTAAAGGTAATCGTCGGGCACGATTGCCACTTTCACTTAGAATATTGACCATAGCATCAACGAAATGATGCATTTTGTTTTGATAAAAACTATTAAATCGATAATCGAAACTACAAAGTGCAATTGTATCTAAAGTTAAGCGTGTAAAATTGTCGCAAACATCAATTTCTTCTCCAGCATAACGTTCCCATCGTAAAATTAATTGAGTAGCAATATCCATCATTTCTGGAAACATACCTCGGATTGCATTCGGTCCAAAAGCAGGAAGAAGAATCTTGTGTGCAAGTTTCCAATTTGGTTCTGATGTATGAGCAGTAAACAGTCCATCTCCTGTAAGAGCTCGTAGTTCTATTAACGGTTTGCCAAGGTCTTTATCAAATTTTGATTCATCACAGAGGAAATTGATAATTTCTTGGCTTGAAACTATTACAAGATTTTTGCCTAATATAGTTAGACGATATATATCACCATATAGTTTATGAAGTCTTTGAAGTGATCCCAGAGTGTATGTAGAATCTATTTCATTGAGATTTCCAATGAAAAAGGTTCCTGGAGGTTGTGGAATTGGTGTGCTCATGTTGTTTGAAAATAATTTTGCTTGATAATGTGTAATCTAGGATAAAAGAAAAATAATAAGAATTTAAAGAAAGATGAACCAGTCGGTGTGTAATGTAATAACTGATATTAATAGTATATTTGCAACATTCTTCTAACACTTCAAGACGTATAAATGAACGCACTTCAATAAAAATAAATTCTGCAGTAATTCAATATAACGCTTACTGAATCTTCTAACAAACAAGTTATCGTTGATAATAAAAACTTCTTGTTTTTTTCTTTTCTCTGTGCATGGTCACATACGTTGTCGTTTGCTTTTATACTCATTCTTACCATCAAGATTGTTACCTAGCGCACTTTGCGCATACAAAGTACGTGCCTCCTGTATGATAAATAAAAGTTGCGTACGTACGCGAATGACGATAAAAAAAGTACGATCATGATTTTTTTTCGTTTCTTTTTTTATGTTGCATATTTTTAATTTATAAACTATTGAGGATTCATTTCTCATCAGTACTCGTTTTACGATCGTATTTTTTTTTTGCTTTTTTAATTCGAGATGAATGACTTAATATTTTATTGATCTTTCCAATCATCACATTCACATATAGAAACACTCAATTATCTTTTCAAATTTGGTAGTGTCAACAATTGATTTATGAGTCGAAAATTAATTCTTGTTTTGAGATGTATTTATTAATAATCAATTAAAATAATATACTAATTATAACTTAGAGAAAATTACTTTTGCCTTATTATTTATTTTGATTTTAATTTTAATCTCTATTTAATTTCTGTTATGAAATTATCTTTAAACGTTATGTCAAAATAATTTTACATTTTTATTGTATTCTATTCTCTAATGAATATATAATAAATATAGGCAGAAAACTAACACTGTTAATTGTTTAATATAAAATATATTCTTTCTCAATCGATTTGATATTGGTTAAGGAAAGTTAATTGATTTTGGTAGAGGTTATTCATACTCTTCCTTTATTTATTAAAAACAATTTT